TTATAAAAAGAGATTAAGGAATAAAAAAGTTTAAAAGAGCGCCATGTTTTTCTTCAGTTTAATTGTGAAATAGTGGAGAGGTGCCGAGTTTTCTGCCTGTTCCCTAACAGACACTCGTAGTCATTTAGAGGAGGAGCTAAATATGACTTAAAATCATTTAAATTTGTGAATCTACTTTTGTCCTATTAAATATTTTAGTTTTACTGTGTGAATGGTGTAGCGCCGATATATGTCCAAACGTCGAAAAATATCCAAACGACGATAAATGTCCAAAAATTGACGATAAATGTCTCAATCGCCGATAAATGTCCAAAACTCATTTAACGATAAATGTCCAAAAATTAACGAAAAATGTCGCAACAAGTTAGGTGCTCATAAAATTAATGTCCAAATCGGTTAACGATAAATGTCTCAACTTTTCAAATGTTAATTTGTAATTTATTGTATTGGATACTGTAACAGTCTATCCAACTAACCCGTGATTTTACCCTCTGGTTTACCCCCGACGTAAAATGTATCATACATTATTGTGCATGGCCAGTTGCAGATCCGGATGGGGCGCGGGGGGCATGTGCCTTCTTAACTCACCGAAGCAATACGTTTTAGCATTGTTTGTGTTCTTCAATATTTTTGACAATAATTTGGATAACAGTGACACAGAGAACTTACCAAGTGATATCGATACTGCCAATAATAGTGTTAGCGTTACTGCCAATGACTTGAATAACGATGTTATTTCTCTGCGCTCACTTGTCGAAAATATGCGACGTCGACGAAGACCGATTGCACCGAGTTCGTTCATATTTACAAATCTACCACTACTTATACAAGTTAAGATAGTGCGATACTGTATAAACGAAAATCCGGCAATGAGATACGTCTTAAGCAGATGTCATCTTAGTAGTGTTGTGCAGTAATGTGACATTTACCTACCTAGAATTTACATTATATGTTATTTATTTCCTAGTATGTCTGTCTGTCTGTCTCTTGTTTTTATCTATATACATTATACTATTTTTGTGTATATCGAAAATTTACAGATCAAAATCGCTATAATTGTGAAGTGATGATCTGTATTTTCTTTCAGGCAAAGACTGCTGACCTAAGGGTTTTTGTTCGGTACAATAAAATAAATAACACATGGCTGTGGGGGTGATAAAGGATTATTATATTGCAAACCCTTGAACTGGCATATTACCCTCGGCTGCGCCTCGGTGTAATATACCAGTTCTCGTGTTGACAATATCCTCTATCACCCCGACAGTCATGTGTTAATTATATATTATTATACCTCAATATATCCTTCAATGTAAAACTCCCATAGGCCTACAATGTGTTCTGATCGAATATCACCCTCCTAGAATATATATCCCGGGGAATATTTCTTATATCACTCTGGGGCACATAACTCTTACATAACTATGTATTCATAATAGCGATAATGCCTTAGTAAAACCCCTGTCACACTAGGACGGCGTCCAAAGAAAATTCAGAACGCCGAGGTGAGCGCAGTAAGATCGCAAACATCGCCACAGCATCGCCGTAGCATCGTAGTGGCATCGCATAGAACGCCGACCAACAGCGTGCATTTTGAACATGCTCAAAACAAACGCCGTTGCTCGGCGTTCTAAAATGAGCGCAGTAGCATCGCAGTAATCCTACAACGCATCAGGAGCGCTGCGAAAGCGCAAAAGCTCCGTAGCATTGCCATGATCACCGTGAGCACGCCGTGAAGACGCCGTGCAGTCTTCATGACATCAACAATATTACATTTTTATTGCGACCTCGCGGCACTTTGTTAAATTTAACAACACCGTGCGAACGCAGTGAAATCGCATTCTAGTGTGACAGGGCCTTAACCAGTTAACATAATGCAAAAATATACATACTAATACAATTTAAATAGTTTATGAAAAAATCTTTATTTAGCAAAGAATCCCACGTGGAAAGCGAAAAGTTCGCGCGAAACCGTTACAAGCTTGTACATGTTCACGTGTATAAAAATTACTACATATGAAAATTTTATTGTTAGATGATTAAAAATAATTGTAATTTTGCATCCATTAATAATAATAATAATAATTTGATTTTGTTGTTATTTATTTTCTAATGAAGAAATAACGATATGTCTGTCTGTCTGTTTGTCTTGTTTTTATCAATACATTTTTGTGTTTACAAAACCTAAGGTTTTTTTCGGTATAATAAAATAAATAACATATGGCTGTCGGGGTGATAGAGGATATTGCCAACACTTGAACTGGCATATTACCCTCGGCTGCGCCTCGGGGTAATACTAATACAACTTCTCGGGTTGACAATATCCTCTATCACCCCAACAGCAATATGTTATTTATATATTATTATACCTCAATATATCCTCCAATGTAAAACTCCCATAGGCCTGCAATGTGTTCTGATCGAATATCACCCTCCTAGAATATATTTCCCGGGGAATATTTCTTATATCACCCTGGGGTACATAACTCTTACATAACTATGTATTGATAAAAACGATAATGCTTTAATTACCAGTTAGCATAATGCAAAATGACAGTCATGTGTTATTTATATAATATTGTTAAGTTAATATTTGACATATAAGTAATTTTTAAATGTACATGTTTGTATCCAACCAGCACAGCAAGAAAACATACTATTACGTCAAGTGTCTATTATTGGTGGCTAAGATGTGACACAAGGGTGTCTCTTTATTTATCTTGTTCACAAAACGAGATAGTTATCTTGTTCCCACAAGAATATTATCTTGTTCCCACGAGATATTATCTTGTTCCCAACGAAATAATTACCTTGTTCCCACGAGATAATATCTTGTTGCCACGAAATAATTATCTTGTTCCCACGATAGAATTATAGCCAATCAGAAGCTGTAAAATGGGTAATATAGCAGTTACTTCCCCTTATTTAGTTGAACATTTAACTTGATTATATATACATTATATTCATGTATAACCATGTAGGTTGATCTTGAAAGTGCCACACTGTAGGGACATACAAAACCTTAATTACCAATTACTGGTGTTTAATAGCGCATACCCTCATCTGGTGAAGCATTTGCGTGCAAACTGATCTGGGTCGACACTGGAGGGATACATGTAAGTAGCCTTTCAAAACTCTGTATTTATAAGGCGGTGGCCCCGCAGTGGCGTTCAGTCCCACCCCGCGCGAATGAGTAATAATCAAATACAAATGTCTTAAATCAATGTAGCATTAGAAGGACCGTCTTCGCAGCACTTAAGAGAAAAGTCACAAAACCCATTTAACACGTGTTGCGTATATGCTTATAACGACCATTGTCGAACCATATCCCCCGACAAGCAAATGCGTCATCCTGTCAAGGTCTGCTCTGTTCGCTGTTGAATCAGTAGGTAAGATTTTTTACTGTCAAAGCAGTTAAACCCTTAATAAGCTCACATGGTTTATACAGGTTAACTGCTTTGTTTGTCAGATAGAGTTGCATATTTTTCTTAACTTTTGACCACTTGACAGTAAAGGAATATGCAACTCTGTCCACGCCCCTATACCGTTCACAAACTTTCGGGACGGACACTTAGACACTCGAACGGACAATGGCAATGCTATATGGGGCACAAAAATATTGAAGAACACAAAACAATGCTAAAACGTATTGTTTCGGTGAGTTAAGAAGGCACATGCCCCCCGCGCCCCATCCAGATCTGCAACTGGCCATGCACAATAATGTATGATACATTTTACGTCGGGGGTAAAACCAGAGGGTAAAATCACGGGTTAGTTGGATAGACTGTTACAGTATCCAATACAATAAATTACAAATTAACATTTGAAAAGTTGAGACATTTATCGTTAACCGATTTGGACATTAATTTTATGAGCACCTAATTTGTTGCGACATTTTTCGTTAATTTTTGGACATTTATCGTTAAAGGAGTTTTGGACATTTATCGGCGATTGAGACATTTATCGTCAATTTTTGGACATTTATCGTCGTTTGGACATTTTTCGACGTTTGGACATATATCGGCGCTACAAATGGTCTGTTGTAGTTCTGCAACTGGAAATATGTTTTTCTTTAACTCTATTTTCTGTATTTGAGTTTTACATTTCAATTGTAGGGGGCCTACATACTTTAGTCTTGTCTCAGATATCTAAAAGTGTGTAAACTTGCTTATGTATTATATGCAAGGGAAGATACAAACTTTTAAAAAAATTCACATTAGGACAGTTAAGATAAATTTGTAAACTTGTTATTTTAAAGCAGGAGCCTTCAGTTAAGTTTGGATTAAGAGGCATATTATTTACTGAGCACTGATAGATTCAAAATTGCTAGACATACATGTTAGCATTTTCAAAAGTAGATTTCAAAAGGAACACTTTACATGTCTAGAATTTTGGCAATGATCGCCCTCCATGGGACAATCTCATAATCCAAGTAAAGTCCTGTTCCCATAACAGTCTCATTATCCAAGAAATGTCCTGTTCACGGGCCCAGTAATGTCCTGTCCCCAGGATGACATTTCTTAAATGTAGAAAACAGTAAAAACTGATTTCTTAAACCGGACAGACAGACTGAAAGTAAATCTTTAAACATCCCTGGCATTAACAGAATATAACATTTTTAAAACAAATCTTTACCCAAAGAGGAGATAACTCTTGAAATAGTGATGTTAGATTTATGAACCTTGTTATACATGATGTTAGTGTAACAAAGAAAAATTATCTTATGTTTAAAGAAGGTACCATTTAAAGTCACAAACAAGAAAAGAGAAGAATTTTTTTTTTTCAAATATACCATATATAGTATCAAAGGTGAAATTTAAAACTGTTTTAGTTGTAACACACTAATAGTTATAAAAGAGTATAAAATATATAAAAATTATTGTGGGGGGGGGGGGGGGGTGGAACAAATCTTGTGGGTCTTCACTTACAACAGAGGTTAGGGAGATCTGCAAAAGAGAACTATTTCTTTGCATAACCAGTAATCAAGTGATAATCTGTTTCAGATTGAGAACACTGACAACCCAGACAAAGATGATCTGCTACAAAAGGTGAGAAAGGAACGTGGATATTCATATGAAGACCAGATAACATGTTCACGGGAAAAACTGCCCAACTATGACGACAAGGTGAGATATAAGCATGTTTTCATGTGAAAATTTGACTGTAAAGGATATAAAGCTATGTAACTTTGTCTGTCAGTAATTGGTAGAATATTGTGTTATAATGAAATCGTACCAAAGAAACTAAATTGAAAGAATAACATTGTTTATTTTCTGCAGAGCAAATGGCATAGGCATAAGATCATAGCCAAGACTACTAAGAAAGTAAATTGTAATTGAATATTTTCTTTGGGAACATTTTATTTCATTATTATAATTCATGTTCATAAAATGACAGATACACTTTTTGTTTCTCCCTTTTATTTTGAGTGGACTGTTCCAAATTCAAAACTGGGACAGTCCAGTACACAAAATAGGCAGGGTACTGTATTTTATCCAGATCTTTCTAAGTATATATAGAATAGTATAAATAGAATATTTTGCCATTTAAAGCTTAATGTCTTCAGCCCTTATTACTTTAAGGACACTCTCGCCATTTTGATAGGGTTTAGTCTTCTTTTACTAAAGCCCAAACTGCCTATTTTTGATGACTCTAAATTAGAATTTTTGGACAGTTTTTAAAAAAAGTTTAAGTTGAAAAAGACAAGTTATACCATTTTACATTTTAATTAAGAAAATTTTAAATTTATTTTAAAAAAGACCCCGGAATAGAAGTGGATCTTATAATTAAAACAAAAGTGATAATTTTTTTGTTTTTTTAATTTAAACATAAAGCTTTCAATTATATCCTGGTGTCTATCTCTAGTTTTACTTATAGGTTTTACTTATCTCATGACATGTAATTTCAAAATGAATACAAAAAAAGATTTTTTCCCCCACATATCAATTGTGAATAAACATTTAATCTTAGGAATGCAATTAAATTGGGTTGTAACTTTGCATGAAGAGAAGTTGGTTGTAATTTTTCATGAGGAGAAGTTATCAGTCATTATTTGATAGAATGTACATTTTAGTTAAAGATGTTTTTCATAGAGAATGTACATTTCAGTTAAAAATGTTTTTCACGGAGCATCTACATGCTGATGAAGAAATCCGGTTGTGTACCGACGGCAGCGGATATTTTGATGTCCGGGATAACAATGATGAATGGATACGTATTGAGCTTGCTAAAGGCGATCTGATAATTCTTCCTGCAGGCATATACCACAGATTTACCCTTGATTCTAAAGTAAGTACAGGGTGGAAATGCCGCAGATTGACCCTTCATTCTAAGGAAAGTATAATTATGGGATATGTCTCAGAAGTATCCTTGATTATAAAGAAAGTACAGGGGGAAATGCAACAGATTTACCCTTGATTTAGAAAAAAAGTGTATGGAGAATATTGCACAGATTTACCTTTGATTACCTTTGATTCTAAGGTATCTACTGGGGGAAATAACCATTGATTTATCCTTTATTCTAAAGTAAGTACAATAGGAAATGCCACAGTTTAATCCATGATTTTAAAGTTATTACAATGGGAAATGATGCAGATTTACCCATGATTCTGAAGAAATATACAGGAGGAAATGGCATAGATATAGATTACCCTTTACACTAAAGTAAGTACAGTGAGAAATACTGTTGGTTTACCCTTGATTCTAAAGTAAGTTATAGTAGGAAATGCCCCAGACTTACCATTGATATTAAAGTAAGTACAGGAAGGATATGCCAGTACACTTACCTAGTAATTCTGGAAAATCTTAAAACTAAGTTAATACAGCGGGCAAATGTGACTGATGTTCCTTTGCTTCAAAATAAAATTTACCCTTCATATTTTCCAAATTTCATAGTCACAAAAATGTAGGGGGCGTCTGTGGCCGAGTGGTTATCGTTGTTGTCTTCAAACCATTTGCCCCTCATGTCTGTAGGTTAGAATCTTGACAGGGTCTTTGGATTCTTTCATGTGAGGAGGCTATCCAGCTAGCTTACAGAACAAGGTTGGTTCTACTCACGTGCTAATCTGTGTCTGAAATAATGCATGGAAGGGCACCTGAGGTCTGCTGAAGTGTGCTGTCCTTTTGACAGCTCTTGTTCTTGTAGGAAGGCCATCTCTTCAGCTTTGTTGAAGCATCCATTGTTGCTTGGATACATTGAAAACTCTTATGGTCTAAGTTTGTTTTTCTGTATTTTTCAGAACTACATCGAGGCAAGACGGTACTTTGTTGGTGAACCAGTGTGGACACCTCATAACAGACCAAATGATGACCATGATGCCAGGAAAAGTTACCTAAAATCCCAAGGCCAGGCATAAAGCATACAAATAAAAACTTCATATCACACATTACATTTTTTTTGTATATGGCGGAAGTGAAACTTTGTATATTATATGGACACTCCTTGGTCACAATTAATTATTTTCTATGCAATATAATAAATACACATCTGGATATATATTATACATATACATCTGTATCATACTTCATTTGATATGTAGTTAGAATAAAGAACATGAAAATCGAATTTCCATGTAAAAAATGTTTAACCATTCAAGTGCCTGAGGGGATAATAAAAGACCAATGTCACACAGATTACACCACATCAGTTTGTGCAGTCTGACCGGTCATTACTGATGAATGCTTGATATTTGTTTTTCATATTTATAATGTACTGAAAGTCCTTTACACAAGTTTAGCTTTGTTGACTTTTAAATTATGGGAGAAAGTTTTTATAATGACCACTGAATGTGCTCAAAGCAGGAGAGAAGATTTTAATATTTTATTTTCTGAATCAGTTATTCTAGTGACAGTAGTTGCTAGGAAATATTATCACATTGATATGCCAATATTGTTTTAAGACAACTTATATTTAACTTTTGTTTTTTTAAAATCCATGTGACTTTTGTAGCTTACTAAAATAACTTAGACTGTTAGTGAAGTCGATCACAAAATATATTGCATGAGACCTAATTGATTAATATACTGAAATAATGGAAAAAAATGTTATTTTTCAAGAAATAATGGTAAAAATTTCCTTAAATGGTATATTTCACTAATTTTGACAAGGTTAACACAAAATTACAGGAGGAGAAATCCATCATGCTTAAAATTGAAATTACAAGGGTGATAAATCCTTTAGGACTAAAAAAATGAAAAATTCAAGGGAGATAAATCCATCTGGACTAAAAGTGAAATAAACATGCTTAAAAATGAAATTACAAGGGGAATAAATCCATTAGGATTAAAAATGAAATAACAAGGGGGGATTAATCCATTATGACAAAATAGAAAAAAATACAAGGGGAATGAAGGCTGTGTTGGTTTATTTAAAGCATTAGGATGACAAACTGTCATAAAATGCTGACGTAAGCAATTATGTATTTTTTCAGAGGCCAGTGTATATAATTACTGGTAATATTGATTAAGGGAACTGTTAGGGCATTGATAAACAGAACTGTTAGATGATATTATTGTTAAAAATTATTTGTAATGTAAAAAAAATTTAGATGCTTTTAGGAATGTTGTTACTGAATTATTTGCTATATAGAAATATATTATGCAGGAGATAAATAGTTTTATTTGTTATTATTTACTAAGAGATTCAAAAAGTATATGGGGGGCTTGTTCTTCTCAATCTGGCATCAGTGCCTAGATTCTGGGTTAACCGTTAGCTTTTGCACGATTAGTGTAGATCTATGTCTGTAAGAGATTTTGAAAGAAGATCCTATGTAGATTGTTAAAGTTCAACTAAAACTAGTTTGGAAAAGAAAATTCTTTTTAAAATGGATACTCGGAATTTCATATTTGAATACTAGTATTTGGCTAATTTTCATATATCCTTTCCCATCCCTAGAATTAAAATATTTCTGTAGCAGATTTCATGCTGATATAATTATAGGAGTCACCTTGTGGCTGAATAAGAAGTCTGTTGCAATTTTCTTGTCTATAGAATAACTTGGAAACAATTCATTGAGTTGACTTTGAAACATTGGAAAATAGAAGAAGCGCAATATTTAAGATGTGTAACTCTACATGGTTCTATTTTTAGTTATTCCCTTTTTGTTTCATCTTCCTTGTAATGATCATGACCCTTACATTTATGAGGCCTCGGTGAATATCACATTAGCCAACTCTGTAACCTTGGATATTTCCCTTTTCTATATATATATATAATAATAGAATAAGATTGTTTACAAATCCAGATATAATTAATTGTTACTTGTTGTCATTAATAACCCGCAACAGTTGTTTTTAACTTGATTGAAAAACTTATCATTTGTAAGATTTTACTTAGTGTCACACCTTGTTTATAGTTGACACATTTGTTGTTTGTCTTGATAAGTAGCTATAAATGGTTTGCGCCTTTCCTTAAAGGAATTTTAAAATATGTTGCAGTTTCAGATGAAAACTTATTAGCCATCCTCTTGCAAGGAGAAGTTTCATAATGATGATTTCGAACATTGTGATTAAAAATGGTCAATTGTCTCTCACTGCTGATTCAGAAATCATGTGGAATTAAAAGTCATTCACTTGCACAGAAACTGGTTATTACTGGTTAGTTATCCAGCCAATGAGATGGACTGGTGAATGTGTAAAAATCGGCATAAAAAACAGATAAAGAAACAAACTATATAAAATATTAGAAAAACAATACATAAAATATTGTTCAAGTCTATGGCAGTTTATAAATGTGAAGAAAGATGTTGAATTTTTCATTTCCAGCATCACAACTGTAGTAAAGCTTTCTTGTTTCACCACACCAACATAAGCCCTGTGGACACTTCAGATCCTTCAGAATATCTATTCCTGTATAGCAGTCTCCTGATACCTCTCTGATAACATTTCTCTCCCAGTCACAAACAAAGATGGTACCTTCATCTGACAGTGCTATACCATACGGCCCTCTCGCATCATCATAGCTACAAGTCTCTTCACCCTGCCAGTTAAATCTCTTTACTGATTTCACGTCACAGTCTGATAGATATATAGAGCTACTGTCACATGTAACATAAAATGGAGTACAGGAATTATTGCTGATATCAATGTTTTCCAGTACAAAGCCATTCACATCAAGTATCTGGAGCCTTGCAGGATGAAGAAAGGACACAACAAGTTTATCTTGATGTTGAATAATACCATAACATTTTCCATCAACCTTCACTGTGTGCTTCTTTTCGAGTTTGTTTGATGAGATTGATAAAAATTGTATCATTTTTGCATGAGGGAGTGTGACAGCAAGTTCAGAACTAGAAACTAGTGTGGTATCCCATGGTGCAACATCGAGTTGTAATCTATCACACACCAACTCATTTCTGGTATTCACTACCTTCACAGCTCGGTTATCAGAGTCTGTAATGATAAGAAGATCAGGAGAATGAAGAGTCATCCCAGTTATACAACACATACTTTCGTCATCCGGTGTCTTCACACAAGTGGATTCTTTATTTAAATTTTCTTCGGTTATTATTCCCAAAGTCTTCTCTGTTGTAACCTGTGTTAATATGGCCTCATTTGGTATGAAGTTGTGCTCTCTGATTTCATATGACATGAGCTCTGGGGTATATGCCTCAATATTTTTCATGTTTTTTTCTGCAAGTTTTAGTTCCACGAAAAGTTTATTAGCCTGTTTAGAGGTATTTACTTGCCTGATCATTTCTGACGATGCTTGTAATAATGTGGCTATATCTTCACATATTTTCTCTACTGACTGCAAATATCTGTCGTTTTGAATATGTATGACCTCGGCTGCATTTACAGTTTTTCTTTCAAGCTTATCTAGTCGTTGGGTGATTTCTTGTCGAAACTTTTTGATTTCAGCTAATGCATCGCTCAGGGAAGAATTGGATTTGACAGTCTTTTTCTTTACATCTTCTACCATTTTTTTATACTGGTCAGACGTGGTACTTACTGCTTTTAGAATACCTTGATATTCTTTGCTGTCTATTATATTACCAGAAATATCTGGTATATAGTTGACTTTGCAGTGGGTAGCTTGGTGTTTAAGGGCAACACAAACACTGCACAGCAATTTTTCATGATCATGGCAGTAAAACTTTACCATTTCTCGTGAATGTTTTGGACAGGGAGTGATCAGATCATCTGACTGGCTTGTAGGGGGAGATGTTGTGGGTTGATTCAGAGATTTAGGCATACTTGTTGCATCTAGAAGTGTATGACATTTTGACAACTTATGTCTTTTATGGACTGTATAACATGTCTCGCATAGATGTTGCTTACAGTCAGTGCAATAACCATGGGCTGGAAGTCTGGGACCTTCTTCATCACAAGGCTGGCAGTACAGCAGAAGATCTTCATCTGGATTGTGTCAGTGATGTAAATTGCTTTGATGCTTTCTTTCCTTGGACAGCCATGTTTAATCTGAAAATTGTGTTATAAACTTTGATATAGGTCTCTTGTCTTATTTGTCTTAAAATTTCATCTTCAAAATAATTTAATCCCGAAATGATTGATCGCTTTTATCTATCAACATTGTGCTATATTTTGCACTTATTTGTAGTACATAATGATAATGTATTGATCAAAGATGGCTAGGATTTTATAACTCAATAATGAAATATCAAATCATAAAGAATTCCTGGAACATTTAAAAAAAGTATACTCAGACTAGGAGTTCAAGTATTTAAACTAAAATTTACTAATCAAGTACATGAATACATGAATAAATAAATGTGCATTTATATAAAGTAAAAGTTACTTTCTGTAAATTTAAGACTGAAATATATGTTATCTAAAGAATATTATAAATTACTACCTTAGGAAATCCTCAAAGATGTTTCACAAATTAGAAATCTCCCACAATATTTCCTTCAAACGAGTTTGTTTGTGAATATTTTTCTGTCATTTCCTACTGCGTTGACTTTTAGCTAAGATTTTAAACTTTTTTTTTTTGCAATTTTTACAAATTTGCCTTCCTGGTTTCAAAGTTTTATTTAACATAAAGTAGATAAGATTAATATTTACAACATGTACACTTTTAAGTTTGTTAGGGAACACATATTAAAAGCTGAGTTATTGTAAGTTAAAAGAGGCTGTATTTTTGGTCAACAATTTATATCATGTATAAAAGATTGGAAGAAAACGTGTTGCTGCTCTCCTGCACACTGGATGAATATTTCACAATCATTCACTATCTTACCTGTAATGTATTCACTTAGCCACAAAGGGAGTGTAATCTTGCACATGAAAATCAACCAATAATTTACTGAACTATGTCTCTTTGTTAATCAACTAAACCCTATTATAAATCTGGAAGCTGTCAGTTGATTTTTCACAAACATAAGCATGAATGTATATATCTTATAGGTTAAAGTGACATTATGCTCATTTTTTCACTGTCAAATTGTAAAAAAAAATGTTTGTATAATATTATTTCAAAAGATTGACTGTTTTAATGGCAATTGAACAATTATTGATAATTACAAAATGTTGGGGATAAAATATAAAAACTGCCTAAAATATAAAAAGATGGACCCAGTCATTTTATAAAGTGAACATTACCGATAATTTCCAAAGGCTATTCATAGATAATTACGTTGGTCATAAAGGGGCAATGATAACTCAGGTGACATTTATTATGAAATTGAAAACATTTATGATAAGATGTAAAGTTATTTTTAATTTGACCTGAACACTCGCCATTTACTCTTGGGTAGTTAAGATGTCACTTCAAACTCTATTCTTCGTTGGCAACTTAATTTATTTCTTTTAAGTCTAAGGGAATATTTTAAAAGGTCAGCTGGCTGTATACAGTGCCCATCAAAAGTCTGGAGACACACAATATTTCACTGATTTTTGGGTAAACTTGGCAAAATCTGTCAAGAAAATGCAATTTTCTTGTGTGAAATATAACATTACCTACATTTGTTATCTTTTGGCATAAAAAATGTTAAGAAAGTCATAAGATCTTCATATTTATATGACAAACTTACAGTTTTACATATTTTTAGAGAAAACTGATAATTAAGTAGTGTTTTCTATCACTTCAAAAACCTTTGATAATCTATAAAAAAATGTCTGCCCAAATATCAACATAACTTTCATGGTCAGTCTAGTCAGTGTTCCACTATAATACAATGGTTCTGTATAAAGACAGAGTGCACTGGAAACCCTGAGAAGTCAAGGAGTGGCTGCTTCAGAAATTGCCAACATTCTGGGAATCGGAAGGTTGGTTACTTAAAAGTATCATTTATTCACTTGCTGAATACTTTCAAATTCGTTTGCAAGAAAAATATCAGCTTTGAATGTCTCTTTCGTGCTTAAGTTCCTGTTCCGTATTCAAGACCCACTGTTCACAAGATCCTGGATCCATTTGAGGCTACTTGAAGTCACCATGATCGATGTAGATTCGGCCGCCCAAAGGTCTCTACACTAAGAGATGATCCCTTGCTTATCAGGAAATCTTTACAAGGCAGGAGACTCGTTGTTCCATTGCTCAAGAGGTCATGGGAATTGACAGGAGTTAATGCTTCACATTCCATAGTTTGTCACAGACTTCAGCATGTTGGATTAGAGAGTCATCAAGCCATTTAGAAGCCACTACTGACCAATGGTCATAGAGGGAAGCATTTGGCTCTTGCTAGAGCACATTCTGGCTGGAAATGGGTTGATTGGTCTACTGTTTTGCTCACCGATGAGAGAAAGGTCAACATGGTCCAGACAACGTCCAGGTGAAGCTCTTTTGGACAAAATTTGTGTCGTGTCAACAGTGACATTTCAAGGTGGTCGAATCATGGTATGAGGTGCCATGAGCTACCAGGGACCTGGTATTCTGAAGGTCGTGCATGAAAATTTGAATTCCCCAAGGTTACATTGACATTTTGAGCAATTGTGCCATACCATCACCTCATCTGCTAGTGTATGGAGATGAGTTCTGGTACCAAGATGATGGTGTGCCAAGATAGAGAAAGAATGGCACTCCCAGAAAAGCATTAGTTGCTTTGAGAACTGGCCACCACAGTCTCCAGACCTCAACCCTATCGAAAACGTGTGGCATTGCATCAAAATGAAGCTCGGGAACAAGCATCATGGTAATCTGAGAGAACTGTCAATGTTTGTGACTACTGGTATGACTTGACAGTTAATAGATGTAGAACATTAGTTAAGAGTATACCTAGAAGAATTCAAGCCATTTTGGCAGCTTGAGGCAGACACACTAAGCACTTACTGTGTGATCTTTTCTGTACCGCTTTTAGTTGGTTTTTGTGCTATTAGGTAAATGAGACAAAATTTGGCATTTATATTTTTAATCTAAGTTGTGCATTGTTCTTTTTGATCATATGTGACAAGAGTGAATTATTATGTATCATTATACATTCAGAATGAATTAAATTGGGCATTTTTCCAAGAATACTTGTTTTTATTGACTTGTCTCCAGACTTTTGATGAGCACTGTATTCCTTAGCCACATTATCATCTTGACCTCAAATGATGTAATGCAGCTGCAGAAACTTGCTCTTGTTATGTTCTAGTCCTTCAGGATCATTGATTCCAACATGTTAAAGATCAAGTATTACCCAAGTTGATGCTGGGGACAGGGTGGGGAATGGTTGGGTCATAGATGTAGCACTTGCCATTTTCTCTCAGGAACACACTTAAACGGAGAATGCATTTCTCAACTAATTGCGTTTGTTTTCATTGTTCTTGTGAAATCTCTCCTTATCCGAACTGTTAAGCTGGTACATTTAGTTTTCAAGTGTTATCTTGACTCATAAGGTGACTGAGAGGAACATCTAAGTACAAAATCTGATTAAAGTTCAGATCTTCTTATGTTTACCATAAGCATAGGGTTATTGAGGGGGCTGATTTTAAACATATAAATGGGACAAAAATATAATTAAAAAGGCAGACAGGAAAATGAAACCATAAACATTTTATCTTCCTGTTTTAAAGTTGACTTTCAGTAAGTCAATTCCTTCTGTAGTCATTCTGCCTATCATTATGATGTATTTTAAATTAATATTAATATTTGATTCAAATTTCATGAAAATTCTTCAATTTAGGATGTAGGAAATATTGAACAGAAACCATAAAGGATGCTAAAATACGTCCTCTGAACCCACATGTGCCAAGTCGGCTAACTACATTCAATCATGAATAAAATGTACACGTAAAAGGTATGCCTGGGTTACTGAGGATGACTAATGTAAATATGATGGTAAGTCAAACTAGTTGCTGCACAGATTCTGCACATTGTTAGTGTGGTAAACATTTGACCCAAACTTCATCAATATCCTGCGGCCTATGCAACCGGAATGATAGCACAAAAAGGTGATATCGCTTTCCAAATACTCTTCCCTTGTCAAAAGTTCTGATGATTCTTTTATAACTATAAATTATTTCTTAAAAGTGACATCATGTGTATCCAATTCTAAACAATAAGTGTACAGGTAAAAGACAGAATAACTGTACATTTTGCCATAATAATACTAGTACTCTGCTTCACAAAAATAAGACCATCATGTAATCATGATTCATAAAACTTTTATAGAGGTCTACCAGGTAATGTTATATGGCAAATAGAGGCATAGCATTATCCACATACTTAAGTCTACATAAAGCAAGTGACTCAATTTTGAACCGAGGTTCATAATTAATGCTGGTAAAACTTTTGTATTGATGCTACATGCCAAATATCTAAGCTCTGGGCTTTGTAGTTTCACACAATAGTACATAAATGTGTTTTCCTTTATATTATCAGTTTTGCTGAGGTCCACATGGTAATGCTGCATGTAAATTCTTTATAGCTCTTGACATTGTAGTTTCGCGTGTTTTTTTATACATAAGTCTTTATATATTGACACCCAGAGTAGGCCATATATTGACTCAATGGTTATGATAAAAAATTGATATAAGTTTTGTGGAGGCCCATAATGCTACATGCCAAATTATGAAATATCTAACCTCTGTAAGACAAGAGTTCCAGGGTTGGGCCAATATTGACAGTAGGGGCATGACAAATAAGCTAACAGATGGACTATTGGGTGTGTAAGAATATATGCCAAAATTTCATAAGGTGTACAACAACTCTGACAAAGTCCACAGAAAGCCATGTAACCCACAGCTACTTCTATGTCGTATGAATATCCCTCATAATTTTTTCGGTAACACAGTGAGGCCGTCTTTTTATATCTTAGGCAGTTTTCATATTATATTCTAGACATAAAATTTTGTTGTTAACAAGTAATGGTCAATCATCACCGTAATGGTCCATCTTTTAAAATATATTGCTAATTCAGCTCAACATCAGCATAATGTAACTAACATTTGGGAAATTGTCAACATTTGGTTGCTAATTTGCAATGCCGAACAAAAATGAGATTTCATTTCAAAATACTGTAGTACTACAAAATGCTACAGTATAATGATTCAACTTCAACAATGAGCATAAAAAATAACATAAAATACAACAAAGATTTGTTTTTTTATGAAGAAATGTCTTTAATAATAATTCAACATTCTTACAAGTAGAATATCAATTGCTATTTCCTAAACAATAAACTCAGTCTAAATAATCATAATAAAAGAAAAATATTTCATTTTGCTAGATGTTTTACCAACTCGTATCTAAGTATATAAAAGAACATTTATTTCAAAGAGAAGTTTCATTTCATTTATATCTAACAAAAAGTTTTTTACGAAAGTAAACCAAAAGCGAAGTTTCAAAATAAATAAACTAGAAGTTTGTCGAGATAAAAAAAAGAAAACGGGCAAAAAAATATATTTGAAACACAAATGAAAAAAAAATCTGTTTGACATTTCTGTGTCCGGACTATTTCTACAAAAAATTTAATATACCATAAATATACATACACGTAATGAAAAAAAAAAAGTTGATTAATGTTTTTTGTTCATGTAAATGATATAATGTGGATAATAGGCCAAATATATAGCCCAAATGAAAAAAAAAATCAACAAAATGTGCTATTTCCTTAAAATAAAAAATATGATTTACAAATCACAGTGCCAAGTCTTTTATACTGAAAATGGCAACTTGGTGTGGATGGCAACAAATTTTCTTCTAAAAAAAAGAGATTGTATAAAAAATTCGAAAAATGAAAAATTGTAGAAAATATTTTAAGAATATATATTTATATATTCAATGTGTAGTACCCTCAGTTTTGCTGTGCAAGTACAAAAAAAGGATATTCCCTCAGATTTACGTAATAATGATGAGGTCTTAACACTAAACATGCCAAACTTTGAATAAATTCAAACACATCATTCTCTTCCATTTCCAATTCAACAACACTTTTTTAATTTATTCAAAGCTTGGCTGTAGTGTTATTATTTTTTATGTGTACCAAATTGTAACTGCATATTTATACAACTGTCTCAATCTATTTCTGTAAATAGTATATCAAATAGTTTAAGACTTCTGGAAACTGAAGGCTTCACATCAGACAACTTGTAAACATAAATAATAAATAATAAAAATTCATCTCTATTTAAGGTAGCAGAAAAAAAATAAAATGTTTAAAAATATATCTTATAATATAACAGAATAAAAAGAAATCTGTGACACAACCTTTCTTAAACGGTCCAAATTTCTGTAACTGTGTAAGAATTTCAAAGTATAGAACTAATTTTACATGTTTGAAAGGTGAATTTATATTCAAAACTATTAAACATCGCAAAACATGATACAACTAATATAAACTGTTTAACATGGAAATCTGTAAAACATGTTATATAACAATAAACTGGCTTCTTCTGAAACACAATGAATACCTTTATACATTACAACAACTATTTGTTCTTTGAAAATTAAAATAGGCTTTGAAAAAAAACACTGGATGCAAGCATTTCTGAGAGTAACGACTGAAAAACTGGAATTTTTGATTCCGTTTGACCAAAACTCGCATTGATTTTCATTATATGGTATGGTCCGAGTTATATTTGTTTCACATCTGGTCAGTCATGTACAGAATGGTTACAGAACCAACTCAAATAAAGATCTGTTTGGCATACCAGATGGTCCGGCCACTTTCAGAATGCCTGCAGACCCTATATGAAATATTTAACATAACATTTGAAATTTATCAATATTTTTTTTTTTATTTGAACAAACAGCGTTCTTATGAGTTTCATCCAACTTTAAATAAATGATATGTTAATGAATACAAAAGGGAAATAATTCCTTCCATGAAACTATTCTAACCATAAACAAGGAAAGGAATTCATATCATGAAAAAAAAAAGAATTTGTTCGTCTTGTACATTATTTGTAATATTCATTGTGGGAAAAAAAGTAACTAGAAAGAAACCAGATAATGAATAAGAGCAAAGCTTTTGTAATTAAGTCTAAAATCCAACTTTTTATGATGTTATAGAAATAATCAAAGGCAAGTTACGTATGGACGATGGCGATAATGAAATATGTGTAAAATAACGAACATTTTCAAAAATATGTACAGAACTATACATTTAATAACATGATTAACATGACATATTAAAGCTATTTACAATTTTCACACACACACAAAAATTAAAACAACAGAACTTAACCCTTATCCTGATGGAAAAATAATCCTAAATCGGACATCTCCAGCTTATAATTTTGAAACTATCTATTATATTATCAAAAAGTTGAAAAACCCAGCAGTATAGAGCCTGTAGTGAAGGGCAGACTGGCCTGGGCTCTAAGCTGATGTGGAAGATTCCAGCATAAAAAAGGCTTAAACAATTACATTTGAACCATAATTCAGTAATGAATGCCGATTCAAAAATCGCTGGAAAAGTACGAAAATGGTAAAAAAAAATTATTCATAAAAAATAGATTTTGGTTTATGTTGTTGTTTTTTTCACGTAACATGATATATATTTAACTTTTCTTTTTTTCTTTTCATGTAACATGATATATATTTAACCAGGTATCAATGATTACAAAATTCCTGAAATCAAACAAAATATCATTTCTGAAGTCTCATTCATGATTTTATTTTTTTAAATAATTTCCAAATTGCACTTGATTAGTATATCATTATTTTGCATTAACATCTTCAAGTCAAATGCTTATATAAAAAAATACAAAAAAAATGAAAAATATCAAAAATCCTATTTCTAACAACATTTTTAAAATAGGAACAAATCTTATTCTCTAAGCAAAAATCATTGAACAATTTATTACAATGACTCACTTTATAAAATTTCCTAAAGCAATTTATTTTGTCCTGTTTCTGGTAAAAAGCAACTTGACTCATGATTCACACTAACACTTAATAAAAAAAAAATACTTGATTAAGATTTAGGATTGAACACTTGATTCATTAATAAGAACTTTCAAATACTTATCATCTACTTATCTTTGAACTTAAAAACGATGACGAAATACATCAAACCCACTTCCTTGTGTAGGTGGTAACCCTCTAAATTAAAACCACTTGTTAAAGTGATCACTTTTCACGGGTATCCCCAACAGGAAGATATGTAAGATGATGAAACTCCACTTGTAGAATTAACAATTCTTAATATTCCTTGATAATTACAATATTGCTCTTTCACAACTCTTTATAACAAACTTCATACATTTATTTCCCCATTTTCTTTACGTCATTAAAGAGTACTTTGACACAGAAACAAGGACGTAATGCGAAACTTGACACCAAAAGTCTGTATCACATTCTTAGAAATATATATATACACGCGTGAGACAACATCTTCTTTCACCTAAAAACATTCCCTTCCCTTTGTGTCAACTAGTTTTATTTACACACCATACTTTTATCAAATTAAATTCCAAATCCTTCATTTATTTTGTTTCAAATTACAGAAATTCTGTCAGAATCTTCCAAATTGTATAAAAAAAAAAATCAATTTCATATCACTTATTAAATTGTTGACATGCCAATGTCATTCATTCTTGATTATAAGTTATTCTAAATAAAACTTACTAAGAATATTCAAAAATATTTAAAAAAATGTTCTATTCTTTCTCTAAACTTTCTGTTGTTCCATTTTCAACCAGGACCTGAATCATGGCAGACAGACCGACAAACATCAAGAATAAAACATGTGAATGTGCCTCACCAATGCGTCGTTTAAAAGGAAGCCAGAAATACAGAATATTAACTTTTCGTAACCAATAACAAAAGAGGTAGCACAACTAAATCCTCTACTGTTAACAATAGCATGACAGTTTATTGTACATGTGCTGTAATTGTTTGAGTGATGCCTCACCGTCTTTAATTACACAAAAAAAAAATTCACACAATTTCTGTTTTTCAATACATCAATTTCAATCTCCTTATTCATATTCAATTCTCAATAATTTTCAATAATTATTACATGTATATAAGGAAAAGTATCTCATTACTTTAATGTTTAAATAAAATGTATACATTATAACCAGCTAAAAAATAATCCAAAATAAAATGATACTGAGGTTCATGAAACACGCTTAAAGAATATTGCAGAAGGAAATATAAAAAGTAATATATTTTGGAACTGATTTATTGAAATTTTAAAGCTTAACCAAACAAGCATAATAAATATTGATTTCTGAAAAAATAGTTATTTTATTCTTCATGTAAAAACAGGATAGGTATAGTTACCAGAACTTCATTATCATTCCAATTTGACCTAAAAAATAAGTTAAATTTTTGTTTTAGAATAAATTAATGCAAAAAGACAATAAAGTATCTGCGAAATTCTACTATGTTTTCAGCGCAACATCACTCAATTAATTACATGATTTTGATAATAAAACCAAGGTGGGATCATCTAGAGAAGCAAGAGTTCTCTAGTTTTGTTAAAGCAGTTTCTACATCAATAAACTTCTCCAACATTTAACATGTATATATAAAAGAATTACAGTTCATGATTCACTAACACTATTTCTAAATACATAATTTCATACATCACTGATAAAATAAAACAACAAGACATTTCTATTTTTTTTTTTCAATATCTCAAATTTTAATTTTTTTTCCCCTCTCACATAATACCACTTTTTCTTAAAAAGTCAGAAAAATATCATGTGACCCATTTGTTAAGGTCAAATTATGATGTCATGAAAACAAAACTGTTCAAGCAACTAATGAACGATTTTGTTTCCATGGCAACACAGTAGATGACATCAATGATTGGAATGTGTGTCAACTCTGGGCTATATACTGTTTCTATGAAGTCACATGATCAACTTTGAATGAGAACTATACATATACAAGAAAACACAAGTTTCATCTACTGACCAGCTCGGATTTGTGCCCATTTTGGGGGGGCCAGGGGCTTACACATGCGAAGGACAAAATATGAATGTCCCAGAAATATCAGATCTGTTCCTCTTAATCGGATGTGATAACTATGGTAAAATGCTGCTTTATGTAATACCAGACACAATTCAATTTTTTTTAAAATATCATGTTTAACAATAAATATAAAAGTTACAGTCCAAAAATCGAAGTTACACTCTAAAAATCAATGTAGTAACAATGTATTTGCCTTACTGATACATGAGCGAAATTCTATCGTCAAAAATCGAAAAGAATAATTACAAGTAAATTGGTGGCTCATAAATCTATCCACAAAATACTTGTATCAGACTGATTAACTGTGTAAATAAAATGTTCAACCTCAATCACACAACCTTTGTTAATCACGAAAGTACATAAAATAGAGCAATTTCCATAGTAACTGAACCAAATAAAATGAGCCCCTAACACCCCCCCCTGGCCATTTCTATCTATATGGAGGTATCACATATGCTGTGCTATCTTTACTTATATAATTTGTAACAGTTCCCGTACACTATGCACATGCCTCAACAGAAATTACCATATAGATCAAATGAATTTTGATCTGAAAATCTTAGGTAAAATAAGAGAAAAACTTTTTTTTTTTTAAAACACATTCATCTTTCAAAAATGTGAAATTTTGATGTTTTTTATTCATGATTTGTGGTAGCGATTTCCTACTAAAAATAGTTCATATCAGAGGCATGTGCACAGAATAAGGGAGGTAACTGGCACCCAGTATTTTTGTGTTGTCTACACGCACACTGCAGGCAGACATGTATTATACTACATGTACTGTATTACAATTTGTTCATATACATTTATTTTTCTTTGAAAAGCTTTCAACTCACCTCAAATGTAGCATATTTACCCAAGCATTCATAATAAAACACAATTTTACAAATAAGAAAGTACTTATTCACAGAACGTAGACCGAAGAAAACAGGAGAAAATAAAAATAAGGATCTAGAGCTAAAAAATAAATTAAAAATTTCATAAAGCACTTAGAATCTTTGAAAATAAATCTTTCCTATCATTTGATGAAAATAATCTTGCAAGTGTCTACGTACTTATCTACAGTTTTGTTAAATTATAATAGCACGTAAAATAAAAATTTTGCGATAAAAACCCGATTTAGACAAAATGATTCCTGACATATATAAATATCACATTTGAGTTGACCCGAAGATTTTCTCTGAATTAACACATAGATAACATATAGAACATATTGTGTTCAGCTAGAACAGCCCTCTTCATCTCTCAGGCGTAAAACTCTTTATCAGGGGCTTTCGTATACGAGTAATTCTGGTACTTCTGCTCGTCTAGGGGATAACTTCCCTCGTCCTTTTTCCTCATGCGGTAAACAACAAACATAACAAGGAGGACCATGCATAGAAGTCCAACAACTGCTCCTCCAATGATTGCTGGTGGAGATAACAAAAAGATACATTTAATATAAAACACTCCAAAAATATAAAATGTCTAGTTGGGAATATGAGCTAAGACATTAGTGTTAATCACTAATGGATAGCAAAATACCAATATGAACAATAAACAATTTATAAACCCAAATAACAAATAAGGTTATTACAAATAACAAAGCAGTGATCTAGTGGTTAGGATAGAACCAGGGATTGTGATACAAACTCTACTGGGGTCATGACTATATTTCTTCATAAGACACCACTCATTTAAAGCATCAGTAAGCAAATGTAGAAAGTGGTTTGATTAAGTTTCAACTTCTTACACTCATCACAATTAAGCTACAATCAGCTTGTTAAACATTAAAATCAAAATCTTTTTTAATATTTTTGATTGTGCGCCTTTCAAATATACGCATTTTGGGTAACATTTTATTAGTGTTCAATATAGGAAATGATTTGTCTTAATGCCATTTCATCATTTTTAAAAGTGACATGATTAAAATGCAGAAATTGGGTGTTAAGTTATTGGTATAGAATGAATATTAAGCAAACATTACCTGCAAGAAGGCCTGGCTGTGATAAGACGGTTTCACCACGTTTCATTGTTGCATATGACCCGTCAACATAGTTTGTCTCTTCCTCTAACTCTTCTACATCAGTTTCTTCAGATTCTGTTTTAAAACAAAAGAAATGATCAATGTATTGTAATATATTTTACACACTAATTTAACCCTAATCCTGCTGGAATTTTATTTTTTAAATGAACTTGTCCAACTTCCATGTCTGGAACTCTCCATTATCATTTTTAGGGATATCAAGATAAAAAATTTGAAGTTGGTTTTGTGCCAACAAAGTAGAACCTGGTCAGACTGCATGGCTCTATACTGGTGTCAATGACTAATCTTTTTCATTTCTAGCTGAGTAAAGGGTTAAATACTCACATAAATATATCTCTATAATATACACGTTCTTGAAAGTTTTGCCACTTTTAAAGTGTTAATAATCAAATAAGCTTCATGTTGTACAGGAACAAACTAGAGCAGTGACAACTCACTGTTATTACACGAGATTATTATTGTACTTATTTTCCAATTTGGTACTAAATCATGCTATTATTGTACTAAAAGTTATATAGTACTTCTGCTTTACTGAGGAAGATGTAAAGTGGCCCCCTATTGTATTGGTCAGAATTATTGAAACCAGCTAAATGCTCATGTTTCTACCACAATTATGACGATTATGTACACACAAAAAAAAATTAGAATCATGTCCAAAGCATGCCCCCTACATTCCACTGTCTTGTCAGCCTACGGGCAGACAGTAAAACAGCATAATAGTGGGACGGACAGACTAGAGTGAATCTATATCCCCCTCCCCCACCTCTAACATCTCCCCCAGCCCTATACATAGTAATCAGGGGCACCAAAATCAATTGTCTGTATTGCCCAGGAGGTTGTGCCACAGTCAGTCTGTATGGACACATGATTTATTTCCAGAATTTACTTTATAAACAAAGACCCATATAAAGACCAGCTTCAGGTAAAATGGACTAGTAAGTCAAAATCAGATTTTGCCGGCCCTGCTAAGTTATAATCAAATAAGAGATAATTTTTACATTTGTTTACACGGACTGATAATGATGATCATGCACAATCTTTCCTATTTTTTGTCTCAGTCTTGATAATAAAACAACAAGTGGCATGCACACAAAACATCCCTATCTAAATACTTCAACATAAACTTGAAAACAACTACTTTACAGTAAGGAAATCTGAATGGCTCTTCCTTTAATGTTATCAATATTTCTTTATCACAATGTAACAAGTGCATTCACATGAAATTCTTATTCAAATACTTCATCATTCACTTAAACCGTTTAAAGCTATACCTTACGGATCATTTTATATTGTAACATTTATAGACAGTACAATTATGTTGTTTTCGTGATCTTATGGTACCTTATATCTTATTCTAGAAAAAGATGTACCATAGAATGTCTGTGTCATTTAATTACTATGATAACTGTACATAAACAGAATAAAAAAAATGTTCCAGAACAAAATATTATGCTGCTTTAATTGTCCAGCAGCTATTTCATGTGACCCCATTCACTCATCAGGAAATATACAAACATGATTCTTTCATATGTGTAGTTTGGAAATATGCTTTACAAAAGAATAATAAACAATAATTTTGTAAACTACAGGCAGCAGATATATTGGTTTAAAATAAGGATAAATCAAATGGCTGGAGCCTATAAACAAGGAAGGCAAAACTGGAAATACAAAAACAATATACATGTAATATCGCAACAGGAAGCTAGAGTTTCCTGCTAATGAAACATCCAATAACAGTTTCACATTTTTTACAGAAGGTTGCGAGAGTTCATTTAAAGTGCAATGTACATTTTCACTGCTAGTGGAAAAAGCCAATTCATTTCAAAACAATTATAGGAACTTGATATTACTCTAAAAGCTGAATAACAAATAACAAAAAAAAAAAATACAAAATGCTTTTAAAACTGCATTCTCATGAACTGTTTACGGACATTTTGAATCGCTGTTTACAATTTTCAAACCACAAGTGTGAACATGTGAAAATGTTTTCTAAATGGTTTCATAAAAGTGCCAGTTATGACATGTTTCATAAACAGACATTACAAAAAGTACAGTAGATATTCCACTATTTTTGTCTTTATATCCTGTTTCATTGCACTCCTATTGGTTCAATCTACTTTACTATATAAAATGCTTGCGTCAACAACAACATTCCAAACTTGCCAGTATATGAGGTCGACCATCTTGTACATTTTTCAGTGTTAATTAAATGTACATGACATAAGTCTACTTGCAGACTGGTACCAATGAGAAGTTATTTAACCTCATAGTCTGGTTTCACTGAAACTATCACTCTATATATACATGAAACCACGGGTGTGAATGATAACAAGCCTTTACTAACAAGTCCAGCATGCCTGCATATTAAGAGAAGTCTAAAGACCCTATTCCTTACATTTTATTGACATCAGACTGACAAGTCATAAACCCATCCCTTAATGGCGAGTAAAATGCCGAAATACTGGTCTCTTGTTACATTTTTTTTTACTTGGTATTTGATATCAAGTGGCAACAGACATATAGACAATGGGACAGACATACGGACCGTGAGACAGACATTAAGCAATGTCATGTAGCTCCTCGCAAAACAAGATTTCTTTTGAAATATTCATAAATACATGTGTCTTACCTGGTATTTTTACTACAACATTTGAAATATCTTCTTTACTGTTGTCGTGTATATCATAGCCAGGATTTTCAGCTTCTGGTAAAGGCTTGACTTTATCTGGTATAATTGGCTTCTCAGCAGCCTTCGGTGTTGTTGCTGTAAAAAGCACGGAGCAAAATATATGTTAAAAAGTATTACCTTTGTTTTGATTGGATTTAAAGTAACACTATATGGCCACTTTTAAGCTTTTCTGATAAAGGAAGATGTCAAGTGCCCCTTGGTACAAACGGACTGGCATCCAACCAAGTAAAACCTGCAACCTTCTGTAAGCTAGCTGGACAGCCCCCTTACATGCAAACATCCAAAAAAGTTCCAAAAATCCTAAAGATCTGATTTGAATCCATAGAGATTTAGAGGATGTGACTCGATGTAAGCAGCATTTTAGTCAATCGGTCAGATACAAATTTTTACTATACTTTGAAGATTGATTAAATCATTTTTCATGAAATTATTTCTGAAAAAGCTTTTATTTCAAAAGAAGGTTAAAATTCTATAATTTTTCCATATATTAACATTTTTGGAGAATTATGACCTCAATATATTTTATAAAATCAATATCTGTAAAAAATGCAGATATAAAATTTTAAGTTCCAGCTATGTCTGACTTTTTTTTTATCTGATTCTTTATTAATGTTATAAAAAGCCATTAAAAATGCACCATGAAGTAGTTCTGTAATATAGTTTTGAATCAATCAGAAATGTTAAATCAATACCAATTATGTCATTTAAATCATACTATAACATGTTTTCTCAATTATAATAACAAATTATAATAGCAGTCATTAATTCTTTATGCATGCACACATGAAATTTAAATTGACAAAACTTAAAATAAAACTGACTACAGATTAACCCCCACTCAGAAAAAAAACCCAAACTAGTCTAATTTATCTATTAACAGTAAAGACATATATATAACTATGTTTATTGTTGAGTTTTATTGCACCAATACAGTAGAAGTTATATGGCGACATTCCAACTTTATGGTAGAGGAAGGACAGGTGCCTTTCCATACATTATTTTAGGCACAAACAGGCACCTGACTAGAACCACTGATGTTCCTCCAGCTAGCTTCCTTATATAAAAGAATCAAAAGTCCCTTGCAGGAATCTAACCTACATCAGTGACAGGCAGGTGGTTTGAAGTCATCAACCTGAACCACTGGGCCATGAACGCCCCTAATATAAAAACTTCTACTCTTTTTACTCATACTACTATTTCTATAAACCATGATCATTCTAAAATTCCCAAATGTGACCCCCCAAAAAAACCTATCTGACATACCTGATGGACAATCCGGTATTTCCGGTTTGTTTTTTATTGTTCCAATGATTTCATTACCAACAGCATCCACACACCAGCATTCAGATCCCTGGCATTGTATCTGCTCATATTCTCCTTCAAGAGTACACTTTGGTTTGTAAGCACCCAGCAGTCCCTGACTGTTCTGAACCAGTTGAAATACACATGTACTCAAATTCTCCCCTAAAAAATACAGATACCGTATCTCATTATGACAATACAACAGATATAAATATTTATTTCATGCTTTCCAGTGTTTTATTGTAATATATCAGATGATTATATTCTGATAAACCACTAGTGAAATTTATAAAATATAATTTTCACTGTAGCCCGACTATATCTGAATGCGGATGAAAAGAAAATCATAACTAAATGGAATAACAGGCAGAAATTAATGCCGTCGTGCGTAAATTTTGCTTCTTTAAGAAAAGAAAGTCGATGTCATCATACATCATGTTAAAAACGTAACAAAATTAAAGAAATTTAACAGACCTATATTTCAAAATTGATTATGTGACGTCATGATGTGATGACGTCACAAAGGAGAATGCGTGACGTTACGCGACAAAACCAGTAAAAAATACTTAAAATCACCTAAAAAGCATGAAATAAAAAGAAAATTTATTTGTTTTACATATAAGATTGAAAAATATTTCATTCGTGAACACCAGCTATTATATTTTCACTCGTGGCTACGCCACTCGTGAAAATATTGCATCTGGTGTTCACTCAGTGAAATTATATTTCAATCTTACATGCAAAACAAACAAATATCCTCTATATATTAGTATTATATTCTAACAACATTACAGTTTTATTGTAACTTTGAAAGCTGAAATGTTGGAGCCCCATTTTTCTGTAAAACTGTAACTACCAGACACAGTCAAAGACTTTCTCACAACTGGGAACTAATCACTCCCATTGGTGACAGGCTAGTTATTCAGTCTTTAAAATCTAGTTTGTCTGTTTTGGTTTTACATCACATCAACACAGTACAGGTCATATGGCGATGTTCAAGCTTTAATGGTGGAGGAAGACCTAAGGTGCCCTTCTATGCATTATTTCAGGCACATATGGGCACCTGAGTAGAGCAACCATAAGCTAGGTGAAAAAATCCAAAGTCCCTGTGGGGATTCAAACCCACAGCAGTGAGGGGCAAGTGGTTTGAAGTCAATGACCGTAATCTACTAATTCAGACAATGTTTCCCTTTCACAATATAGGGCTTATAGTGTAACATATAACTACACTCCTTCGTAATTTTTTGTCTCAAAAATGATAATGAAAATCAAGAAAAGTGTATTTGGTAACAAGAACATGGATTTAGTTCAAGATGTTTAAATATGCTACTGTGTTTATATATATTGACAATTTTTTTCAGTTTACCCCAACTATAAAGAGTCGTATCATCTAAATTTCTAATTTAGTTAATCATTTACTTCTGTTCTTTGTAGAATGGTAGTATGAAGACAATAAATATCTTACCAAAACTACAATCTGGCATTCCGGTTCCGGTCATACGTGTTCCGGTAATTTCTATACCTTGAGGATCAACACACCAACAGTTCTTCTGTTTATTTCCTGCATCTATCATACACTGACGTTTCTTAAACTCTCCATCAGTATCACACTCTGGCTTAAAGACCGATGTTGCCTGTACAGCCGTGTTTCTCAAGTTCTCACATGCCGTCAGCTGCTTACTGGTCGTTGTTGGATTGTTATTCACCATCACAGTTTTAACTGTCACTGGCACTGTAACACAAAATCAAATAATCATCATTCATTGTTTAATGTGGATGAAATCATGATTAACCTTCACCTTACAGGTAAGTCTAGCTTAATAATATAATTTAAAAGAATCATTTATCACAACAGCCTTCTGAATGAAGAGCCTATGACTCCTATAGGTTCAAGAAAAGCTTTGTGCATTTATAACAAATATATAAATGAGACTTTTTTACACATGACCTTCTACACATGACCTTATCAAACAACAGCAACACTTACAAATTTTGACAGCATTGCCTATCTGTAAGACTTAAAACAGCATTGGCTATTCAAGAAAAGCAACATTGCCTATCCTTAAAAAGTAACATTGCAATTCCTTGAAAATCATCATTGCGTATCTTCAAATAAGACAACAACCAGCTTTTTGATAGAGATACAGAAGTAGAGGAAGTACAGACAGATGGACAAAAGGAACAACAAACTGTTGCATAATGCTCTTACAGCTACCCATAGAAGCTGGATCTCCAGCAATATATAGGTTAACAAAATAAAAGGTCATGTCTACATGTCGTACATGAGTTACATTTTTCACTGGACTGTCAAACAGTATACTGAATTCAGTAAACAAGCCAATGACAATATCCTAAAAATAACAATACAACTGTATATTCAACAAGAGCTGTTGGAAGGACAGCCTGCCACTATTTTCAGTGCTAATGTATAGTAAAACAAGAGCCTAAATGATGTAGAAGTTCAAAAAGGTGCATATTTCTGTTAAAATCCATGTTAGAATTATGGGGCCTTGAACAGTGACCTTCATAATTATGCTCGTGAAGTTTCAGTACTTTAGATTATACCAATTTGAACACACAAACTGAAGGTGATGCCAACACTTGGTTGAGTTACAATAGCTCTCCCTATTCATTAAACAGTCATTCATTCAACAGTCAAGCTAAAAGCTAATAGACCATTCCTGAGCCATTCCTTGAAACTATTTATGTTATTGGCATATACATGATAATTTGAATAACAATAATAATTGGTATTTCACAACTTAAAAACAACCAGAAATGTCCTGCTGAGTTATTAATAAATACACAACAGGTGACACAGAAAAAACAACCTAAAATATCACCAAATGAAGTTCAAGAGGAAAATGCTTCAGTTACTGGAGGGGAAGGTGGGATAGGGGATGCTTTGAATCTAATATACCTCTCCAAAATGTTACAAATATTATTTCTCACTCTGAACTATTTAATGCAGATATAACACACTGAAAACCGATTAAAAATATTGCTGCACTTAAAACAGAGATTATTATAAGATTGTCAAATCAAATTTGATAATGGTAAGTTGGTAACTATTCCACTTTTAAATGGAGCCAGAGCAGTCTGCAAATCCTTACATGAGGCTGCCTTATTATTTTTTTGTAACTTAAAATTTGCATATTGAAAAGCAACATTTGAATAATCAACTTCTAGCCCTTGAGCTGCAGAATTTCTTAGCTTCCTTATACTATCAATCTTAAGGATATGGAGATAAAAATTGAAAACAAGCCAGCCAACTGTATAGAGCCTAATCAAATCGTAATGGAAGTGCTGCTTTCAGGGCAGGTTCTATACAACTGCTTATTTGGTCCCAGCAGGAAAAGGTTAAAGAAACAAAATTCTTTAATAGTAAGGCTGTGGACTTGTGGTACATCAGTGACATCTGATCATGGTCACTTTTAGCTTTTCAGTAAGTAATTATATTATTTTTTAGATTTCAACTTAAGTCCGTGAATGACTTTGTCCAGACTGAGAGATGGGCAAGAGCATTTAAGATAATGATGTAGCTTGGTGAGGGTTTAAATAAACTGGTCAGAGTATAATTATTTGAATGACAAGATACCACAAAACCACATTTTACAATTATAATTATGCACACTGTTTAATATGTACATGTGTAAAGTAACATGTACCTTAAATTCAGATGATAGGCTAGGTATACACCTAGGAAAACTACATTTTTTATAAGCCATGGGGCAAGTTATTACAATGTATATACAGACAGATAGAGTATGAAAATCAAATCTTCCCATTAAGAGACCATCAGAAACATAAAATAAAATTCAAAGAATAACTTGAAACGTATTTACAAACTTATTCTGACAGTTTCATGATTATCTTATAAGCTTCTAAAGGACAAAGATAAGAACACACAAAAGCAAGCTTCTACAGGACAAAGATTAGGAAAATACAAAGGCATTAAGAAGATTTCTGTGTTGTCTGCCAGAGAAATTATTCTAATTACAAGAAGAAAAAAAGCATGGCCCAGAGTGTAAAACTGATTTATAATGCATCATTTGCCAGGGACATTTCTCCCATTCTGTTATCCAACATCACTTTTCTTGTTTTTCCTTGTTCTCCCCTGGGTGACAACTTGACTGACATTCTGTCTGCAAGTTGACATTAAATGTATTATAAGCTCACCCTGATTTCTCTCATACTATCAGGAAATACAGTACACTAAGATAAGCGCAGAAACTCATTTCCTTCAAGTATATCTAAATTTTGACAAAGACAGTACTATATATGAATCAGAGCGGGGAACATTAACTTCAAAGAATGGACATTAGTAGCGCCTGTATATATCTAATAGCCTGCAAGGGAAAAAACAAACAAACTGGTTTCATCTTTTTTGCCAATTTTTATAATAAAGACTTAAAGATAGATAATCAACCTTAAATGGAACAGCAAGAAACTGAATTATTCTGTAGTCCTTCATATTATCAATCTTTACATCAATTTAAAACTTTTATCCATGCTTCATGTATTACATGGACTTGCCTATCATTCAATCTGGAGAAAACCATTCATATATTTAAAATCAATTGAAAATTTCAAAATATATACTGATCGTATAGCAAACAGTGCAGACCACCGAATAGCAAACAGTGCATTGTTGGTAAATTTTTGTTATTTTGTAATTTTAATTTTAACAAGATATGTTTGTAAAACATGTATGCCCCCTATCAGCAGCCAATTAGTCATGTGATAAGGTTATTATGCATGACTTCTGACCCAGTGATCAAACAATTAATAAGGGTTATCAAGTATCTACTGGTCATGACCTTAACCTTTGACCCCTTGACCCAAAACTCAATAGGGGTCATCTGCTGGTCACGACCAATCATCATACAAAGTTTGAAGTTCCTAGGCCTAAGCGTTTTTAGTTAATTGATCGGAAACCGTTTTTACCTTCAAGTTCAATGTGACCTTGACCTTTGACCCCTTGACCCCAAAATCAATAGGTCATCTGCTGGTCATGACCAATCACCATACCAAGTTTGAAGTTCCTAGGCCTAAGGGTTCTTTAGTTATTGATCGGAAACTGTTTTAACATACAAGGTCAATGTGAACTTGACCTTTGACCCCAAAATCAATAGGGGTCATCTGCTGGTCATGACCAATCACCATGCCAAGTTTGAAGTTCCTAGACCGAAGCGTTCTTAAGTTATTGATTTGAAAGCATTTTTACCTACAAGGTCAATGTGACCTTGCCCTTTGACCCCTTAACCCCAATATCAATAGGGGTCATCTGCTGGACATGACCAATCACCATACCAAGTTTGAAGTTCCTAGGCCTAAGGGTTCTTTAGTTATTGATCGGAAACCGTTTTTACCTAAGAGGTCAATGTGACCTTGACCTTTGACCCCTTGACCCCAAAATCAATAGGGGTCATCTACTGATCATGACCAATCACCATATCAAGTTTGAAGTTCCTAGGCCTAAGGGTTCTTTCATCATTGATCGGAAATCGTTTTTACCTACAAGGTCAATGTGACCTTGACCTTTGACCCCTTAACCCCAAAATCAATAGGCGTTATCTGCTGGTCATGACTAATCACCATACCAAGTTTGAAGTTCCTAGGCCTAAGGGTTCTTTTGTTATTGATCAGAAACCGTTTTTACCCAAGAGGTCAATGTGACCTTGACCTTTGACCCCTTAACCCCAAAATCAATAGGGGTCATCTGCTGGTCATGACTAATCACCATACCAAGTTTGAAGTTCCTAGGCCTAAAGGTTCTTTTGTTATTGATCAGAAACCGTTTTTACCCAAGAGGTCAATGTGACCTTGACCTTTGACCCCAAAATCAAAAGGGGTCATCTACTGATCATGACCAATCACCATACCAAGTTTGAAGTTCCTAGGCCTTAAAGTTCTTTAGTTATTGATCGGAAACCGTTATTGCTTACAAGGTCAATGTGACCTTGACCTTTGACCCCTTGACCCCAAAATCAATAGGGGTCATCTACTGATCATGACCAATCACCATACCAAGTTTGAAGTTCCTAGGCCTTAAAGTTCTTTAGTTATTGATAGGAAACCGTTTTTGCTTACAAGGTCAATGTAACCTTGACCTTTGACCCCTTGACCCCAAAATCAATAGGGATCATCTTCTGATCATGACCAATCACCATACCAAGTTTGAAGTTCCTAGGCCTTAAGGTTCTTTAGTTATTGATCGGAAACCATTTTTGCTTACAAGGTCAATGTGACCTTGACCTTTGACCCCTTGACCCCAAAATCAATAGGGGTCATCTACTGGTCATGACCAATCACAATACCAAGTTTGAAGTTCCTAGGCCTTAAGGTTCTTTAGTTATTGATCGGAAACCGTTTTTGCTTACAAGGTCAATGTGACCTTGACCTTTGACCCCTTGACCCCAAAATCAATAGGGGTCATCTACTGGTCATGACCAATCACCATACCAAGTTTGAAGTTCCTAGGCCTAAGGGTTCTTTAGTTATCACTCGGAAACCATTTGGTCTACGGACCGACGGACCAACGGACCGACAAGTGCAAAGCAATATACCCCCTTTTCTTCGAAATGGGGGCATAATCATCTTAATAAGCAAGACCAGTGACTGTAAGACCAATGGACCAACTTTTGTAAACAGGAATAAAATCAAATTTGACCCCAAAAAATACACTGTTACATAATTTAGTTGAACTTATCTAGTGTAACTATGTTATCA